TCCAATGGGCGTCGTTATAGACTTTAGACTCTGACTTGGCCTTGACTCTGTCGTACCTACAGGTCCGTCGGTATTTATGGCGGACACCATCCAATCATATTCCAGTGAGGAGGAACACAGGTGTACGCATATTCCATTATATTAAAAATAAAATACAATTACATGTTATTCATTCATGCATTCCCCATTATTTGCAAAGACTTGTTGCCACTTATCAAGCAGCTCATTGAAACCTTTTCGCTAAAATTCTGCAGGTTTGATGCGACAACTTTTTCAATAAACACTACAATCTAGTTTTCATTAAAGAAAGTTTCCCCCGAAAAAAATTAATAATACGTTGTTAAAATCTTAAATGAATATAGTGATTTTCTAAGCGTAGGTTAAAAAAGTTCGAATGTACAAGCCACCCAGTGAGGACAGAACTCACTAATCATTTGCAATGGATCTAGCAAGACAATTTTCCATTACACTGATGTAGACGTTAAACACCTGAGAACGCTATCATCTTATCCTCTTTTTCTCTCACTGAAACCAAACAGCATCTCTAATATGTCTTTTTCGTATTTCCTCGCAGTCAAAACGGGATAATCCATTATTTATTAGGTATTACGTAAGGTGTAACGTGCAGGTTGACTAACTAAGGAACTAGCAAAATCTCTCACAGAGATCACACCCACTCGTCAGGAGACTAGACCCAGACGAGTGCATGTAAGCTTGATAGAAACAAGAGTAAGGACATGGTACATGAATATCTAATTGTATTTATAACTACATATGTGTATATAATACACTCATGTTAAGCACATGAGATTATTATCATCTCTTCTATATTTTCTTTTTGACAAACTACGATGCATGACTAACTGAACGATCGAATCATCATAACTGAACTATTACTATTTTATCTACTGTTAAGTCTAATTTGGTTGAATATAGTAGCTTAGTTATGACACAAGGTCAAAAGTATGGAATATCTACTGAGGCTCGAACTCACTACTCAGTCGTAATTGATCTAGCGAGACAATTTTACTAAGCATTACACCTCACCGAAGTGCTCCTAATTAGGTTGAATATAATTGCCTACGGAAGGCGCATCCAGCACAATTAGAGGCGAGGTTCTCTTATTTAAATTATTTTTTGTTATTCTAAGGTTTTCTTTGAATTCATTCTTCTCCGTCGTAATTATCAGAACTGTACGTGTGTTTATCAATTCCATGCAGTCAACTGTATGTCCGGTAAATGGTCGTCAAGACCAATTGATTTCATTGGAAACTTGCTCAAGAATGTAAAAAGAAAGTGTTGACATGGCAAGAATATTGAAAATAAAAGAAAAAAATAGAAACGTTCGTGCTAAATTATCTACAATTTCGTACATTTTTATATGAATGAACCTGATCGGTGTGTGGATTAACGAGCTATTTTTTCCTTAGTCATAATTAAATTTCTAAGATGAAGTATAGTCAAATTATTATTTTTTTTAATCATCTTTCTTTCATCTTATTTGTGTTGTTATCTTTTATCGTGTACAGCGCATCTCTTGCAAAAAACAATTTCTTGTCGCCTCAAGCGATCATCGAAACTTTCGAAACTTAAACCAAGGTCGATTTCCAGAATTGACACCAGAATTCTATATTGTCCGATTTGGTGCCATAACACAACTGATCCACTTTTTTCCTACTTTTTTTTACAATGATGTTCACCCTGTACATGCCTAGAGCACCACTCAAGGTAGAACAGGTTATAATTGCAATAATCGGGGAAGCATCCTCTTGGGAGTTGGCTTCATAAGGCAGTGGTTCGTGAAAAGAAACCGCTCGAGTAGAATTTGCATCTCACCAGAAGAATACGAAGGGAATGAGGGGGGTTCGCTATAATGTGCGTGGCATGACGAAGAAGAGTAGATCATCTAAACACTTACCGTGGAACTAGCGAGAGAGCAACGAGTGGTGTGCGATGTTCCGTCTGTGGGAGAAGGGGTTTTACAGTGAAAAAAATAGAATTAAAAAGAAAAATAATAAATCAAGAAATCAAGAGAAAAAATCAACAAAAAAAAAAACGAAAAAGGAAACATAAATGAAAAAGAAAAGATCACATAGACATCACTCGAAATAAGCGGCAAATTTGAGACTGCTACTCGAGTTTCTCGCCACCGCGATCATCAGGCGGCTAGAACGAAATCAGTGTACCATTATTTCATGAGTATTATTATTATATATATATTATTATGAGTATTATATATATATATATATATATATATATATATATATATATATATATATATATATATATATATATAATAAATATATGGATATAGATCCGACAGTATGAAGAAAAATATACGGAAAAAACAAACAAAATCATATATACAATTATGCTGTTTTAATGCTAATATGTCAACGTCGGACGTTTCGGTTTAATAAACCATCTTCAGGACATATTCATAAAATATAATTAACATTATCTTTGTCATGTTGAATTGATAATGTTAATTATATTTTATGAATATGTCCTGAAGATGGTTTATTAGACCGAAACGTCCGACGTTGACATATTAACATTAAAACAGCATAATTGTATATAAGGATTTTTGTTTGTTTTTTCCGTATATTTTTCCTCATATATATATATATATATATATATATATATATATATATATATATATGTTGCGGGAGTGACTTGATATTGAATTTGTCTTGGATATGATTACTGCAATAGTAGCTTTTTCACCCTTCTGGCCTTCTGTCAGACTAAATAATGCTATGTAAATACTACGCTGTTTTGGTTTACACTTCAATTATTGTAGCCACTATTACAATCGTCACTATTTTCGCACAAGATTGACAATGACGACAAAACTTTGTTGTTCTTGAGTGTACAGATAAATTGGTTCAGTGGGTGGGGTTTAGCAATTGGCTAGATTACAACTCGTGATGTACTCTCATCACTGCGCTGATCCTGAATTTTCACTTATCGTGAAGATCAGGTGTCTTCACGGGTAGCCCTGTGACTTGAGCTCCTTTTGAGCTCAATCCAAACTTCACCAGTTCTAACTTTCCCGGTGAAGACACTTCATGACACGCACATTATAGCGAATACCCCTTATTCTTTTCGTATTCCATTGGTGAGATGTAAATCCCACTCGAACAGCTTCTTCCTATGAACTGCTACTTTGTTGAACAGACTGACAACAGGGCGCTTCCTTAATCACTACAACCTAAACTTGATCAAGTCTAAGGTCAACCGTTATGTTCCCCACCTATCCTCTGTTATGGTCCAGGTTAGGACCAAGGAAGAACAACACGAACACAAGAGTAGAAATAACGAAGGTATATTACACGAAATAATAATACAAGATGTGGAAGGTGTCAGTGTGACTGTCAGTCTGGTTTGGAGTGAACTGCTCTCGGCTCGACTCGATTCGGTATCTAGCCTCCCACCCCCACGAGGGTTGCATGTGGCACAAGGCCGAGTTTAACACGGGTTTCCCGAGTCCGTAGGCTCGGCCAAAAAATGCCCGTAGAACCCGTATAAACGGGATCGGGTTGGTCAACCCCCCGAACGAGCCTCGTCCGGGTTTCTCTCTACTCAGAGGCAGAGAGTTCGACCGTGAAGCCGAGAAGCTCGGCTCGATTCGTCCCTCTCTCTTGAGAGGCGTAGTATACAGAGTGTTAGGAAGAGTTCATTCTGTAGTTATAGGTAAGGACCCATGACATCCCCATAAACAGTGCCTCTTACACTGTAACACTCTACCTCGAGGGATCTCCCGCCTTGTAAAGGGTGAACATTATTGTAAAATTGATAATAAAGGTAGTATGCACATAAATGCATTAAAATAAAATGACGACTTGCTCAAAAAGTCATCTCATCCGTGTTAGTCAATTGATTAATCAAGCCACCGTCGCATCTCAGGTTCCTCAGTACCATTTTCTGTGTCAATAACGATAATTCTGCTTTTGCAAATAGTTGCATGAAAGAGTTTACGTTACAGCGATGATATTATCACCTCAATCACCTTATCACCGACATGAGCTCACCAGGAATTGAAACTGAAATGATCCATTAAATGACGTGGTGTGTTTTTTGGCCAAGCACAGAAGGTTTTCGGGTTACGTCGGACCCGACGTACGGGATTTCGTGGTTACGGCGCCATCTCCTAATACGTCGTCACGCGGCGGTATATGAGGAAGACGGTGTTGATTCTTTACCGGCTGTACGCCATATTGGATTGTGCTACATTCACTATCTTTTGTTTGTGTCGTTCTTTTTTTTTTTTTCTTTTTTTTTTAACTTTTTGCCCCGACTCGTGGATGCTTATATAGGTGAGTTCCGACCTACGTCGAAAATCAGGTTACGTCGCGCCGTAGGAACAGATATCCGACGTAAGTCGAGGACCCCCTGTAATTCATGATCATAATGTAACCCTGTAATTGTTATTTTAAAACAATGTTTAAGCCACTGAAAATATTTGATGTTTGTAATTTTAAAATATTCGGTTTATTTATATATTCTCAAGGTTAACTAAGAGTATCAGCTTTTTTTGCTGCTACTACCTAGGTCGTTAAGTTAGTCATGTCTAGTGAAAAGCTCACTCACCCATTCTGTTTTTTTTTTATCAACTGTCGGTGATGTGGTATTTTATCATGATATCAAGATGATATAGAACGTAGGAAGAAATGGATTCATGCCTTTCCTAAGCTGAAATTCAAACTCGGTACACCGGTATTTTTATACTGAAAACAGTTACGCATCTCTTATGACAGGTTGCCATTTGTCTCTTAAGATGATTTCCATTTGAATATTTGTAAAATCTATAAAAATTTTACAAATATTAAAATAGCAACCCCGCCTTACACAATTTCTAAGCAAATCATTTAATTATGACCGATATCGGTAAAATAAATAAAATCGTGGTACGCATGTTTCTTGGTCTATCAATCTGTCTACCTCTGTTTCCCGCATTTTTTTTAATCTTTTTCTCATCTTTCTCTTTCACTCACAAGTTATCGCTCTCTTTCTGTCTTGCTTTCTTCTCCTCTTTTTTTACTCCCTATATTTTCTCTTATTCTCTCCGTCTCTTTCTATCAAATGTCCCATTGTGTGTGTGTGTGTGTGTGTGTGTGTGTGTGTGTGTGTGTGTGTGCGCGCGCGCCCGCACGTGTGCGTTTATGTGTGCTGTTTGTTCACGTGACCATGCGCCATGTCACGAAATGGGCATGATTTGGCGCTTTGACCCGCAAGCACACACACACGCACGCAGGCACATATCACATATCTACACACACGCGCACAGCGTCACAGACACAACACACAAATATACGCGCGTGCGCACATGCCCACTGGCCTCCGAAGCCTCGTTTTCGGTATTACCTTATTAGGTAAAAATGTCTAAGATGTACTCGGCGACCATCGAGGGAGATATTCCACAACAACCAGCGACAAAATAACTGATTTAACTACGGCGCGTTTTTACTTTTCTGTCTTGCCTGCGCACTGTAGCACCCAACCCTGGTTTATGGTGTTTTTAAGTGACGCCTCTATACAACCAATTCATCACATATTCTTGTCCAATTTGCACGCACGCTGCCTTTCTCTAGATTCCTCCCCCACAGGCAGATCTTTCAAATGCCACATATATTATTTCGTGGTCCACTATGGTATTTTGGTTCCAGTCAGTTAGTCGCTCACAGATTGCCGTATCAGAAGAAAACATTTAATAGTGTAATCTCTGGCTAATAGGAGAGACAAAACTAAAGTTAAACTATCGTTTATCGTTTAAATAATGGAAATGCAGTTCTCTCTAGCCCTTGACAGTAACTTCGGTTCGATTCGAGTGGTTGAAAAATGTGGCCTTGTGATAGATTTACTTTCACGTGTAAAACATTGTAGTATTTTCTGCTTTGCTTAGTGACGTACCAGCAGCTTTATCACATGAGCAACATCTGTTGCATGTCATGAAATATACACACCACATAGCTGTTGTTGTTTTTTTTATATAAATAGTCTGAGTTTAAATGATATTGAAATGTAAAAGATATATTGGTTTCAGGGTTTTAAAGAGAGATTTTTATATATATATCATCAGGTTTACTTGACAAATAAAAGCATTTTTTTTTAAGAATTTACTATAGATACAAAGGCTTATATATCCTTAATTTTGCTCTGGCATCTTATCGATATGTTGCACGTGTTGAGTAACGGTTAGCGGCTCGAAAAAAGAACTTGACGACATAAGTTCGAATTCTGGCAATGTTCGTCACGTTCGCTTTTTGCACAAATACTCTTTGGAAAGGTATGAAACCGGCTTTTCTCCCCGACGCTATAGGTTAAAGAGTCCGGTTGAGTGAGCTCATTTGTCTTGTGAGATCAACCAGTTTAGAAGTAAAACTCTGAATTCAAACCCACCATGATAGGTGATGGGCTCCGTCAGATTGTCTTGGCCTAGACATGATCTGCTACGTATGTGGTAACAAACGATATTTGGGAGATTGCTTTTTACTTTTTGGGGCAGTGGGGGGGGGGATAAGTACTTGACTCGAATCCAGGTCAACCAATTAAAAAACTTATTTAACATATGATTTAGGTTCCGGAATTTAGTCAAATTAAATTCAATAGTCACCATGAAAGAACGCAAGCATCTTATTTGAGACTGAACTGTTCTCACTAAAGGAATTGAACCTGAACTGCTCCATTCAATAGCGTGACAATTTCTTTTATTTTTTTTCTTTTATCTTTTTTTATTTTTATTTATTTTATTTTTATTTATTTTATTTTTATTTATTTATTTATTATATTTTTTTTCTAAGAATTGTACTGCTGAATTTATTAACGAACACAATGTACGTAAAAATAATAAAAATCACACACACACACACACACTTCTAGTAACGTCCCTAGACTTGAAACATGTCAAAAGCGATGTCTTTACCAACTGGGCCAAAACATCTACCCCAGACTCCACAGCTGTAGCTGAACTAATGCCATCATGCTTACCGCCGTGTCTTACAGAATTTTCCTTCTTGTCTCTGCTGTTATTGATTTTACTATAGGCAACGCCAGCAAGGGAACCATATCTCCGAGCAACCGCTACCGTCTCTGTCGACACCTCTGTACTACTACAGCCACAACAATCAGCCAATATCATAACAGCTGGTGACGGTGAAGATGGTGACGCCAGTGTAACTGCTGTGACTGGTACAGTTACGAGAAGAACGACCACGCCCAGTATATACCATATTTGGCAAAAGATGTGGCGACTGCATGTAAAATACATGGGCATGTGGCACAAAGTACAGTAG